TGATTCTTCTAATTCTATTCCTTTTGGATTTAGTGACTAGAAATCATCTATTAAAAACTTTAGATATTTATTTATTTTTTTTATTTTTATTTTTTTTTAATTTTATTTATTTATTGGTGTGTGTGGCCAGCTCAGCCCACCAGGGGGCAGGGCTGGCTGGCATGTGGTGCTGGGGGATTGAACCGCAGTCCCTGTGCTTTTAGCTAAGCTTGTTGTAAGTAGGTGCTTTAGACCACTGAGCCATCTCACCAGCCCAAACTCTAGATATTTAAATATTTAATTTTAAGTATAGATCATGCAGCACAGACATTTATTCATGGTTCTTTCCCTCATTTATGTTTCTTGGTTGTTCAAAATAATGAGCGAAGACCCTAAAAACCTTTCCAGGTGCCCAGGCACCATCGTGGCACACTGCCCTGCTCTTCCTCTGTTTGTTTGTACTGGGGTGGTCAGATATTTCAGTGAATTACTAAAGTTTTAAAATACTATTATAGTAAAAGACACATTGCAATTAATCCAGAGGGAACTTTGAACACAGTTATCCCACTGTTCTTGCCACTTTTTGCACCAGCGTGGAAGACCTCTCTTGATCAAAAAATGATGATCAGGGGCTGGTGTGATAGCTCAGTGGACTAAAGCACCTGCTTTGGTGAGTGCAGGGACTGCAGTTCAGTCCCTGGCACCACGTGGCATACCTGTAATCCCAGTGCTGGGGAGGCTGAAAGCAGGAGGATCACCACAAGTCCAAGCTGCATGTGAGACCCTTTAACAGCCAAATACATTAAAAAAAAAAAATGATGATCAGAATGATGATCAAAAGTATGGCAAATGCTGCTGAGGAGTGCCATCCACCAAGAGCAGGCTTGTGAAGCCATCCAGTGCGTCCTCATGCACCTTCTTCCCTGGGTCTGGCACCTGGCAACTCTGGCTCTTCTCCAAAGTAACCAGAAAGGTAAATGGTTTGAATTGTCAGGACATCAAGGCGGCCACAACCACGCAGCCAGACACATGAAAGAAGACTTCTAGAACCGCTCAGAAAGTGGCAAGAGTGATGGGATCAATATTCAAAGTAAGAAAGAGTATTCTGAGGATTAATGGCAATATATTTTACCAAGATAAAGTTTTTTAAAAAATTTAAGTGTATACTATGTTTTTCCATCACATTTTGTGTATCTGCTGTTTCTCTTAATTGTTGGTACTATTTGGGTCACAATGTAATTTATTTGTTTTTTTAAATATAATTTTCTAATTATCCCAGTTAACCTGGTTAACTTTTTTTTAATTATTATTATTTTATTTCTTTGAGACAAGTCTCACTAATTGCTAAGTTGTCCAGACCAGACTCAAACTTCCTACCCTCCCACTTCAGCCTCCCGAGTGCTGAGATCACAGGCTTGCATAGGCACGCACCACCACGCCCAGCTCATCTGTTTGTCTTCTCTGTACTTGATTGGTTTCATTTTCTACATTAGATTTTCAAGCTCTTTGGAATATGTCCCGGTATGAGGAACAGATCCAACTGCATCTTTTTCACCCTTAAAGTTTGATTTGCTTATCTCATTTAACAGTGTCTAAAATTAGTCCTTACCTCTCTGAACAGTATATAAAACTTGGAGTAATTGCTCAAACCGTCGTCCTTCCTATGAAATGCTAGGTTCTAGTGTTCCTGTTGTTTACCACCAAATTGAACAGTGTTACCATTGTCGTGGGCTGTCTTTCGTCACAGTCACACTCGCTCGTGCTCCTGGGTTCAGTTCTCATCCTGCCATCTGCATCTCAGAGCTTATTCCTATGGGCATTTGCCTTCCCCTGAAGGCAGATCCCTGTTGTGAGCGTTCATTGAAGTAAACTTTTTTTCTTTAAGGTCTTTCATTTCAGGCTGTTTATAAATCTTTTAGCTGAGACTGTGACTCTGGGTTCTCTACAACTGTACATGGTATCCCACTGTTTTCTAGCTTATTTATTTTTGTTAAGAAATTGAGGTTCTTTTTTTACTTCATCTCATTTTTTCTCTAGGCTTTATCAAAATAGATTTCCCTATTTTTGCTGTCCCAGCTTCACTGTTCTGTATCTCGATGTGAATTTCCCTTGTGTATCTTGTTTGAGGCCTAGGGCCTCTTAAAACTCTAGGATTGACACTTTTTACCAATCTTTGATAAATTCTCATCTATTAGCTTTTTTTTTTTAAACATTTATTTATTTATTTATTGTGTGTGTGTGTGTGTGTGTGTGTGTGTGTGTGTGTTGCCAGCTCAGCCCACCAGGGGGCGGGCTGGCTGGCATGTGGTGCTGGGGGATTGAACCGCAGTCCCTGTGCTTTCCCAAGCTTGTTTCAAGTAGGTGCTTTAGACTACTGAGCCATCTTGCCAGCCCCATCTATTAGCTTTTTTAAAAGTTAAGTATCAGTACATCTTAGGTATACTTGATGACCATACTCATTATAGGGAATTTGTACCTACACCTGGTGTAACCTGATTCTTTCTCATTCTCCCTTCAATTCCTTTCCCCTCCTTATTTACAAAAGCTACTTCCACTTTTCCGTCTTTTCTCATTTTTCTTCTTTCCTCTTCTAATATTGTCCTTCTATTCTCCTGTATTTTTCTTCTAGAATTCTGATTAGACTTTAAAGGTCTGCCTGTACGCAAGAGTTCAGGTCTGATAATTTAATAATCATGTTTGTTATCTTTTATGCATTCATTTTAAGCCTTTTATAGCAAGGGACTTGGGAGGAGGTCCAGTGTACCATATATGTTAGCATCAAAACTCTGTTCTCTTAAAATATTAACATTCAGGATTTAAACAGAGAGAGGAGGCTTGTGGAAGAATTAAAGAGAGAAGAAAAGAGGTGGCTCCGGAACCCTTGCCTTATGAGTGAGGCACTTCCCGCCCGTGTCCTTGCATGGTCACCCTTAGCGTCCACCCCCAGCAGGCCTCCTCTTTGTGCCTGACCGATGGCAGCAGGGGCCAGGGGGCTGTGTTGTCCTTCTGTCTCCTGGTTTTCCCTGCTCTACCCCAGTGCTCTGCATTTCATCTAGTTTAAGTTCACTAACTTAACGTATAACAAATAGCAAAGTTAGCTGAAGAGCCATTATATGTAGTCTCGTGTCCCTTGATTTCTGTCGTGTACTTCCACTGGGACAATTTCATGAAAGCTATCAGCAGTAATTAAGGAAGCCCAGGAGATAGGGGGATGAGGAGTGAGGCTATCGAGGAAGCTGTGCCATGTGGCCCCAGTTCTGACTGCCTTAGCAGCTGAAGATACGTCCCTGTTATTAAAACATTAGTCCAGAAGGCTAGGGGTGGCAGTTCATACCTATAATCCCAGAACTTGGGAGGTTTAGGCAGAATTGCTATGACTGCAAGGTCACCTTGGGCTGCATAGCGAGACCCTCCCTCAGAAAACTATAAACAAAACGAAGTCTCGACTCTCTTTGAGCTCAAGTCTGTATATTCTGTGCATCTCACTGCTTGAGGTAATAAGTACTAGAAGACCATTACTCACCATTTAAAAGTATTCTGTCTCCAACTAAATTTCAAAATTTGGGTAGGAATAAAAATATATATGTGATTCTCCAACATGTCTGTGTTAGAAAAGAGAAGCAAAAGCATAGAGAACTGTGAAAATTTTAGGAAGGGCTTTAGAAGGTAAACGGTGAAGACCAGTCTTTACAGTAGTGGAGGCTGAACCCAGGCTCTCACACATTGAACCCTGGGCAAGCACTTGTCCTGTGCTATGTCCCAGGTCCTGAAGACCACAGTTTAGCTGGAAAGTGGTTAGGATTTCCCTCACCCAGGCCTCCTTATCCCCAACTTTAGTGGATAACAACTGCTCTTACAGTTACAAAAAACCAACCTAAATAGAATTTCCATATCCAACCCCCCCCCCCCCGCCAAAATTGGCTTGCTACTTTAGCTAATAACTTCTTCAAGGTACAATTAAGACTTGAGTTAATTACTATAACTGAGCTATAATGTCCATTATCAAGAGTTAGTTATATTAGCTAGATAAGGTGGCATACCCATGTAGTCCCAACACTGTGGAAGCCTGAGGCAGGAGGATCATAAGTTTGAGCCCAGTTTTGACAGTTTAGCAACTTAGTGAAACCTTGTTTCAAAAAAATGGAAAGGATGCTGAGAACATAACTTACTAGTGAAAGACCTGGAGTTTGTCCCCAGTAACACACACACACATAACAAATCTATACTTATTTTAAAAGGTTATAATGAATTAAGGCCAAAGGTACATTTATAGTTGATTACAAATTGCACATCCAGGGGGCCAGGGAGAAGGCTCCGTAGAATAAGCACTTCCCTGGCAAGCTCAAGGGCCTGAGTTCAATTCCCAGTTCCGCAAAAAAAAAAAAAAATAATAATAATTGCACATCCAGTTTTTAGTAACTAGAAACCCTTCAGTCCTATGATCGATAACAGTCACTGAACTCAGAACAGCATTCAGGCCCCTGTTCTAGTGCTTGACATGTATTATCCCATCTAATACTTGGATCAAGTCTGCAAAGATGGAGCTAAGTGAGGGTCACAAACTAATGGGTGACAAAATGACTCTTAACAGCTGGCCTGGCCTAGAACCACTGCTGTGGCCATGGCTGACCAGGTGAGGGCTTTCAAGAGGATAGAAATCTAGTAGTGAAGTGCAACTGCTTTGCTGTGTGAGGTGAGTAACTCGAGTATTTCTGCAGAACAATTACTTCAGGCCTCCTCCTCCAGCTCCAGGCCCTGCACTCTTACACCAAGAGCTAGGAGCAACAGCCCTTCCTCTTCTCCAAACGCAAGGTGCCACTGAGTAATAGATGGGATAATACACGTCACCACTGCCACCCTGGGGCCTAAGTCTTGAGTTATCACAGCAAACAGTTTTAGTTTTTTGATAGACAGTATGATATAGAAACTTATTCCACGGTTGCCTCCTTTTACGTGGGCCTGGGGGAAGCCTGGGAGTTCTGTGTCCTCGTGCCAACTTGCTGACCTGCTGTCCTTTTCAGTTTCTGTTCCAGCAGCTGGGAATGTTGGTGTCTTTCGTGAAGAGCCACATCAGACCTTACATGGATGAAATCGTCACCCTCATGCGAGTGAGTAGAAGTTAATGCTTTGGCTTTGGCCTGCTTATCCGTGTTTAAGTCCAGGGAAGCTCAGCAGTAAGTCTGGATAATGTGGGCATTTTTAGTGCCTTGTGGAACTGTTACGACTTGAGTGTGAAGAGTGGAGCAAAGTGGCGCTTTGGGTTTGGAGAAGGAAGAGGAAGGGCTGTTGCTCCTGGCTCCCAGTGTAAGAGTGCAGGGTCTGGGGTTGGAGGAGGAGGCCTGAAGTAATTGTGCAGAAATACTCTTTGAGTTACTCGCCTCACACAGCAAAGCAGTTTCACTTCACTACTAGATTTCTGTCCCCTCGAAAGCCCTCTTCTTGTTGCCTATAAAACTGGGTTTTGTGATTTGTAGTAGGCAGGTGCTGGAAGATACCCCACTTACGGCGATACCGTCTTTCTTACCATTCTGTCTAATTTTAATGTCTTTGTTGGGAAGGTTACTTTGTAGAGTAGACATTGCTACATCCTCAGAGTTGAACAGTGATTTCTGCTGTCCCATCCCAGACCTTTGTAGTTAAATAGAACACAGTGGGGCCCAGATGAAAATGGCCAGCTTCCCAAATGTACCTTCCCAGCCCCTGGCTCTCGGAACTGAAAACTTCTACGTGTCTAAATCATTAAGGTTGCTGTTCCCCACTCCTACCTACAACAGAGGTCTCTGTGCAAGGAAGGTTTAGGCTGAATTCTAAGGGCCAGATGAATGGTCTGCAGGGAGGGAAACAGTGTAGTCAGGGCAGGAAGTCAAAATGTTTCCCGAAGAAAGGGTGTGTAGGTGAAACGCGGGGCTCTGAGGCAGCAGCCTTACCCCTGCAAAGTATGGCTTTTATTTCATCCCTTTGGAGAGGGTGCAGTGAAGCTCTTCTTTGGCTGTTGATCGTGAGCATTTTAATGAGCTCCCCAGAGCCTAGGAGGCGGATAGTGTGAGCAGTGTGCTAGCTGACCTCCCTGGCAGGCTGCTGGCCTCTGCGTAGAGGGCCCTGCAAGGAACCGTGAGAATGCACTGGGAGGTGGCCAGGCTCTCTGAAGCCTGCGTGTGGCCTGCGTGAAGGACCACCCAGGCTGGGGACCTGGAGATCCGTGCAGTTTCTTCAGCAGCACTTTTTGTGTAGAGTGAACATAGCTTTTTCAGAGAGAATATTTCTCTGCCAGCAGAGAGAAAGTAAGTCTTACCAGCGTCTTCTAATTTGATTTTTATTCTCTAAACTGTGAACGCTTTAAAATTTTTTGAATACTTTATCCTTCTGTAAAGCCTTCACCTGGGAAGTTATCCTTATTTTACTGACATATTCTTAATTATTTAAGACTGCTCAGAGTATTAATATTCATGTGTTGTCTCTCAGTGAAGAAGGCAGCAGGTGCTTGTCTCTTTTAATTGGTTTGAAATGACAAATTTCCTTGGAGTCTGAGGCTTGGGCCAGCTTACCTTGCAGTTTGAAGGCAACATCTGTAGTCCATTGGCCAGGCTTTTATTTTAGTCATTAGAATGAATTGTAATTGCGTGGATGTGAAAGTGCTCACTTTCTGGCACTATGCAGGGCGATGGGTAGATTTGGGAGGACCGGTACCAAGTAGCGTCTAGTAGAACGTGAGCCAGAATGCACAGGAAACCTTGGTAACCTAGAATAGAGATCAGAGGGTGCACAGCGACTTAACTGCCCTACGCCACTGCCAAGCCCCTCGAGTAACTTACATTTAGGCATCTGTTCATTCTGCCAGTAGGTTTGCATGACTAGCAGATTCCAGATGATCTGATAGATTCTGGGAATACGAAGATGAATCAGGGAGGTTTCTCACCCACACACAGCCTATAGGACCGTGAGGAGTACACAGCAAATTAGGGATTACAGGTCCTAGGAAGGTGGAGAGCAAAGGGACCCAAAGTGGCTGATGACAGAACAGGAAGAGTGAGCGGAACTGTGAGCCAGGACTGGATGGCCAGAAGGGGCTTAGCTGAGCAAGAAATGGAGTTCTGGACAAAGGGAGCGACGCGAGCAGAGTGCAGGGGAGTGAGGCACCCGCTCTTGGGGAGGTGCAGCTCAGTTCCCCTGGCTTGGCTGTGACAGGGCTCCAAGGGCCCAGTGAAAGGAGGGTGGGGGGGGAGCTCACCAGGCTGATCACTCTCACTATGTTTTTGCTTGTCCCCATCTGTGTTTCCTGTTTCACAGTTCAGCAGAGGGACACCTGGCAACCTTTTTGTCTCCTTCTTCCTAGGAATTCTGGGTCATGAACACCTCAATCCAGAGCACAATCATTCTTCTCATTGAGCAAATTGTGGTAGCGCTTGGGGGTGAGTTTAAACTCTACCTGCCGCAGCTGATCCCTCACATGCTGCGTGTGTTCATGCACGACAACAGCCCAGGCCGCAGCGTCTCTATCAAGGTGAGTAGTCCGGGATCCTCGGGCGAGAGGCTTGTCTTCCTTGGGCTCTCTGGGTGGGCAGCCAGAAGGACACTGTGTTCTGAGTCTTGCGTTGGTGTCCGCACCCCGGTGCCAAATCCCCAGAAGACTGACACTGATGCTTGCGGTTTGTATTCTACAGAATGTGTGTAGTCTTCTTTTGGTTTCCTTATATTTTGTATTCTTTCATGGATTATTTTCAATACATCGTCTGATCCCAGGCCGGTTTTCTCAGTTATCCAGCAGCTGGTGCTGATCAGTTGAAATAAGCACAGGGAAAGGAAACTATTATGTAGCAAATGAAAGGAAAATGGGTCACCATAGTACTGACTCAAAGCCATCAAACTTTGAATAATCCACACGTCCGCCCGTCCATGTCTTTGGCTGTGTGGTACCTGGCTGTACATGTTCAGCACTGTGCCCTCATTCCCTTGACAGCTGTTGGCAGCAATCCAGTTGTTTGGTGCCAACTTGGACGACTACCTGCATTTGTTGTTGCCTCCGATCGTGAAGCTGTTTGATGCCCCTGAAGTCCCTCTCCCATCTCGAAAGTAAGCTTCTACCTTTGGGGACCAACAGTCATCAAAGAGGCCAGCCAGATAGCTTAGCAGACTGAAGTGCCTGCTTAGGCAGACATGGACTGGGGTTAGTGTGCTGTGCCGGCCTCGGCCCTGGGGCGTGCTGAGACAGTAATTGAGACTGGGTGTGGTGGCGTGTACCTGTAATCCCAGCACTTAGGAGGCTGAAAACAGGAGGATCACTGTGAGTCAGATCTATGTAGTGAGACCCTGTAGATCCTGTACTAAATACATAAAAGTAAAGAAAAAAGAAAAGCCAGTCATCAAATAGCTTTTAGGGTTTCGCTAAAGATGCTGTTTTTTGGGGTTTTTTTTTTTTTTTTGGTTTTGTTTTTTTGTTTTTTGTTTTTTTGAGGAAGGGTCTAGCTCTGTAGTTCAGGCTGATCTTGAACTCACTGTGTATCCCAAGCTGGCCTCACACTGGCAGTAGTCCTGCCCCAGCCTCCTAAGTACTGGGATTGTAGTTGTGTGCTTCCACATCTGGCTGAAGATGTAATTTTTTTAAAATGCCAGGCTATCTCAGTGTTTGCTTTTTTATTTATTTATTTTTTATCCCTATTATTTTAGGGCACAGATTTCTTAGATTTGTAGATCTTGCTTCTCCCCACCCCCTAGAATATACGCAGCCCCATGTCATCCACAGTACGTCCTCTCCTCCGGGCTGTTTGTGTGTAGCAGTTCTTGCAGGCCCTTGGTTGTTTCAGGGCAGCGTTGGAGACAGTGGACCGCCTGACCGAGTCCCTGGATTTCACAGACTATGCCTCCCGGATCATTCACCCAATTGTTCGAACCCTGGACCAGAGCCCAGAGCTGCGTTCCACAGCCATGGATACCCTGTCTTCACTTGTCTTTCAGCTGGGTAAAAAGGTAAGATGAGAGGCCTGAGCAAATGGTTGCTTTTTGACTTGTTTGGGAAGACTTTATAAGCGTCTCCCTTTGTTAGTCTATAGATTTCAGCCACCATCAGAGAATATGGAGCTATTTGCTCTTTTGTTGTTGGTCTTCATTTGCCCAGCGTGTGTTTGTGGAGTCCCCCACGTGGGCTGGAGGTCTTCTAAAGAGAACACGGTCAGCCAAGCCTGTGTTCTCATGCTCTTGTATTCCAGTGCAGCAGAGCAACCAAATCCTATCTGTCTCCTAAGAGTCATGGTGCAGGTGGGGATCAGTGCTGTTTATGCAGGGTAGATCATGAGCCTTCTCCGCAGAGTTATTGTGTGAGCAGAGATCCACATACACAGCCAGGCTCAGATCCTGCAGACAGGAGCAGAGTGCCCCACTGGATGCAGGTGTGAGGAGTTCTTACACTGCGTGACTTGAGTGAGCCAGGGGAGGGCTTGGAGCCAAGGTCATGAAGATAGGGCAGGGTAGTGTGGGAGAGACTAGCTCTCCTAAGGCAGAGCATGGGTCTTAAAGTAGGACCCCTGGACCAGCAAATCGCCCTCCTCAGGCCTGATAACTTGCTCAGAACACAGAATCCAGACCTTGCCCCATACCTGCTGAGTCAGAAGCCTGGGCTGTAGAGCCCAGCGTGTCTGGTTTCATCAGCCCTTGGGTAGCACAGCTGCTCACTGACACACTCAGGTGCTGTAGGCCATCCTGAGTGTTTCAGCTTTTACTCTGAAGATGTTAAACTCGGAGGATGCAGAACATAGGAAAAATACACTTGACTCAATACTTTCAAATGATTACTCTCAACCGTGTATGGAAAAGTAAGCTGCAGTGGAAGCAGAAACCTGGGAGAGACCATTGTAAGAAGCCAAGTGGAACCTGATGTGGTGCATGTTTATGATCCTAGCACTTGGGAGGCTGAGGCAGGAAGATCAATTGCCAGTGAGTTCAAGAGCAGCTGTGGCTGCATAGTGAGACCTTGTCTCAAAAAACAAAACAAAATAAGGAAGTCAAATGGAAGCCAGTGGGGACTGGGTTAGGATTATAGCCAGGGTGGTGAACATGGTTTCTTCAGAACAGTGCAGAGCTAGCCAGCATCCCAAAGAACTGGCTACACTGTAGTTGCATAATACCTTCTTCTCTCCTTCCACCTCCAAAGTAATGGTTTCTGATCTCTTCTGCATAGTACCAAATTTTCATTCCAATGGTGAACAAAGTTCTGGTGCGACACCGAATCAACCATCAGCGCTACGATGTGCTCATCTGCAGAATCGTCAAGGTGAGTACTTCCTGTCTGCTTTGCAGTCCTCCGTTGTCTCTGCTCCCTGGTATTATTGTCCTCTTAGCTGAGGAGTGTGTGTTTTTCACTCTGAACTAGGATTGGCGGACTTTTTGGTAAGCACAATGAATTCTCTTAGGGCGCCCGGCCCTAGCTCCGTTCTTTAAGTGGCTGCTTCCACAATGCTGGCAGCCTCAGGTTGCTGTAGTTCGATCCCCACCACACTCCAGCCAGCCAAAAGTGCCCTGAAGGCATTCAAGGAGAAAAAAAAAAAAAAAAAAATCCTATTCCACAGTGAATTCTCTTAGTGTCGTAGGCCCTGTGGTCTGTGTTGCACCTGCCGAGCTCTGCCCGGCAGCCTGCAGGAAGCCATGTGCAGCATGTAAGCCAAGGAGCCTGGCTGCGTTCCAGTGAAACCTTAGAGTAGTCATAGAAATTTGAGTCTCCCATACTCTTGCAAAGTAGTAATCTTCCTATGATATTGTTTCAGCTGTTTGATAAGTAAATCTATTCACAGTTCTTGGAGCATAAAACGTGGCAGGGCTGGTGAGATGGCTCAGTGGTCTAAAGCACCTACTTAGAACAAGCTTAGCAAAACACAGGGACCACGGTTCAATCCCCCAGCACCACATGCCAGCCAACCCCGCCCCCTGGTGGGCTGAGCTGGTCACACACACACACACACACACACACACACACACACACAAATAAATAAATAAAATTAAAAAAAAAAAATGTGGCAGGCTGTTTGCCACTCATCACTTTTACCCTTACTCTCGGTTCTCCGTCTTACTGCTCATTGAAATCTGGGCTCTTTGGGAGGGTCTGGCCCTCAGGAGGCTTGTGCGAGTTTTCTAGAGTCAGAGCGTTCATGGGTTTGTACGTTTTCTGTGAATGTCTGCTTGCAGGGATACACCCTTGCTGATGAAGAAGAGGACCCCTTGATTTACCAGCACCGGATGCTGAGGAGTGGCCAAGGGGATGCACTAGCCAGTGGACCAGTAGAGACAGGGCCCATGAAGAAACTGCACGTCAGCACCATCAACCTCCAAAAGGCAGGTGCACTGCTTCCAGAGGGCTCGGGAAGAGAGCTTGCGCTCCTGTCTCATTCAGAACTGTAGCTTTGCTACCTGATACCTAAGCTGGCCAGCAACCAGCCCCAGCAGTTTTCCAAAACTCTAGAGACCATAATGTGAACTTTGGGCATTTTATCTTTCTCTAGGTGTTTGGTTTGTTTTTTTTTTTCTAGAGAAAAGGTAGAGAACAAAGTGTCTTTTTACGTTCCCTTTAAACTTTGATAACAGAGCCTTTTCTTGGAAATAACATTCTAATCTCCCTCTCCTCCACTCCCGGGCACCCTTTTTGGTACTGGAGATCGAACTCAGGGCCTCACACATGCTAGTCAGGTACTACAGCACTGAGCTATACCTCTAGCCTTACTGATTTATGGGTTTGGGAGGTAGAACCCAGAACTTTCACACTGAGCTACATCTCAGCCCCTTTTACTTTTTATTTTTGAATCAGGTTCTTTCTAAATTGCTGAATTGCCCAGGCTAGGCATGTAGCTGCAGTCCTCCTGCTTCAGCCTCCCAGAGTGTTCCAATTACAGGTGTGCACCACTCTCATTCTCAATTTTTTAATGAATAGAACAAAGCCAAAGCTCCTGCTAAGCACTGCAGTGCTTTTACGCCGTACTTTTAAACTTCTCACTCTCCCTGGGCTTACCAGGTTCTGGGGCCTTATTAAAATGCTGGCTGTGATGCAGGCTGAGACTAGACCTGACACTGTGCATTCCCAACAGGCTTCCTGGTGGTGTGCTGCCTCTAGGAGTGGTGACGTTTTAGATCTTTGCAAGTACTGAGCTGTCCCTGACAAAAGCTGCAGATACGGCCAGCCTTTCACCTTGTACACCACCAGCCAGCCTCCTAAAAACAGGTTCAGAGCCTCTAATTAAAGAGCAGAGTAATTCTAGTTACTTTACCAACTTTTAAATAAATGTACTAATTGCTTCTCAGCCTTTTGGCTAAGATCAAATGTAGTATCTATTATGAGTTTAAATAAATGTACTGGCTTGCTTACTTTCCACATTCACTGTCTCTGGAGACTGTAAGCCGCCCTCAGTTTGGATTTCAAGTTGGTTTTAGTCTTCATTTATTAGCAGCTGACTCAGAAATTATACTTCATATGTAGCTGCAGAGGGGAAAGAATTAGGCAGGCTTGTATCCCAGCTGACTCATTCTCTTCTTTTGGCCAGGCCTATAAAGATTGGAACTTCAGGCCCTTGCGCGCGCTTATCCTACTCAGCTATCTCCCCGGCCCTCACTTTTGGTTTTCATGTGCCATCATAGTAACAGTCTGTTACTGATTCCTAAGAGACTATAGATAATTCATATGTAAAAATGTCTTATCATTCATTGTCATTGTGAAAGTATTTCATGTTTCCTATGTTGGTGTTTTATTTGTACAGAAGTTATGTTTTGAAATATA